TGTTATTGTCTGTTTATAGATTTCGTAATTTAACTTATGTATATAATGTAATTCACTCTTGTTTGAATAAAAAGTGAATTGAATCATTAGTTTGACATGTATCATTTTTCATGATTATACAGTATAATTCATTTTAAAAGCAGATGGATTTCACTATACTAACCTGGGAAGAGATGACGGCTTTACTCCACTATAAGGAAATGGCTCCGAGACGATGTGTAGCCTACCCTGAACATAATTACTGATTATTAAAATAGACATGATAAAATAATCACAGCTTCCCAGAGACTGTGATGGGTGGCAGTCCAATAGAAAATTGAACAGAATAGTAGTTGCGTGTTAGTGTTGTTCAGATGTAAAATCAGCTGTAGTTTGTGTGTGGTGGTGAGCAAGGCACCGTTCATGAACTGCTGAAGATTACACTGGACATTTTGAGATGTAATTATGATTCAACTGTGCATTGGTTAAAGCAATGAGACGCATTGAACATCTGTATTACACATTTTGATCACCTGCCGCTCATTAAGTTCGCTATGCCATGGCCACCCCACACTAGCTCTACAGCCCACCTTGGCCACCCCAGTAAAAATGTTCTGGACACGCCACTGACTGTGAAACCATTAATGGGTCCTTCAGGCACATTTCCAGATGAAATGTAATGATCTGAGGTCCCAGTACAGGGTTTTGTGACCAAAGAGATGCTGGGACTCATTCTGCTGCGTGGATTACTTGACAAAACCATTTTAGTTAGTCTTGTGGGTCGCCAACAATCACAAACTGTGGTTGGGTCAAAATAAATCCATAATTAGCTTGATATGAAACATATTGATCTGTACACTGTGGCCTCTGCCTCTCAGTTTGTCTGCTGACCCACAGCACACCCCTGCAAGAAACCACTGTAGCTTCTAACTAAATCTGTCTGGTTTGGAATTTAGTTTCTCTCCCGTGTCCTGTTTTTACTTTATATATCTGCTCTATTTTACTGTCTCATCTTCACTTTCAACTGAGTTGTGTGAAGTTACTGTTGATGAGGGGCTTTTATGTTATGATAAAATACAATCACAGTTGTACAGAGGCCAGTGCTAGCCCAGGCCCATCTGTGGACACGGCCCTGCAGTTGGTTATCTCTAACATTGTGGGTTATTTTCCACAGACATGCTCTGAATTTAATGTATGGTTTTAGATGGCTCGCTCCACCCTGACACATCACTAACACTCCCCCTCTGTCTGTTGCTATAGAACCAGGGAGGAAGAGGCAGAAGCAAGCATCACCGCTGTCAGCGCTGTGACAAATCCTTCTCATCATCTGGAAAGTTAAAGGTTCATAAAAGAATTCACACTGGAGAGAAACCATACAGCTGTGATCAGTGTGGGAAAACTTTCACTCGGTCATATCAACTAAGAGTCCACCGACGTGTTCACACCAGAGAGAAACCATACAGCTGTGACCAGTGTGGTAAAGCATTCGCTACATCAAGTCAGCTTCAATGTCATCATCATACTCACGCTGAAGAGAAACCATACAGCTGTGACCAATGTTGGGCAGCTTTTAAACGAGCAGATGTTCTGAAATGCCACCAGCGCATTCACACGGGAGAGAAACCATACAGCTGTGACCAGTGTGGTAAAGCATTCGCTACATCAAGTCAGCTTCAATGTCATCATTGTACTCACATTGAAGAGAAACCGTACAGCTGTGACCAATGTGGGGTAGCTTTTAAACGAGCAGATGTTCTGAAATGCCACTAGCGCATTCACACGGGAGAGAAACCATACAGCTGTGATCTATGTGGAAAATCTTTTACAATTCAAAGACAACTAGAAAATCATCAACATATTCACACTGGAGAGAAACCGTACAGTTGTGACCAGTGTGGTAAAGCATTCGGTACATCAGGTCTGCTTCAATGCCATCGTCGTACTCACAATGAAGAGAAACCATACAGCTGTGACCAATGTGAGAAATCCTTTAGAATTCGAAGCCACCTAGAAAATCATCAACTTATTCACACTGGAGAGAAACTGTACAGTTGTGGCGACTGTGGGAAAGCTTTCTTCACCCATGGTAATGTTATTAGGCATCAAGTTGTTGACACCAAAGTGAAATCATACTGGTGTGACAAATGTGGGAAAACCTTTGCTTCCTCAGGTTACCTTAAAGTTCATTACCGCATACACACTGGAGAGAAACCTTACAGCTGTGAACAATGTGGGAAATCGTTTTCTTGTGGTAATTCCTTAAGAGCTCACCAACAATGTCACACTGCGTCGCCCTGAACGGCCATCAGAGCCAAGCTGGCTGTATCCTCTAATGTCCTCACCATACTCTGATAGATGTGTTGTTATATTCTGAGTTTTCACATTAAGGATGACCAATGCTAACACTGTTCTGTAAAGCAGGTATGTTATTATTAGCATCATCAGGAACAACTTGTTGATACCAGATTGATATGATGTATCTGGTCACGTGTTTGATATTTGAAGTAGATGTGTTGAAGTCTGTGTTAATTGGATGAAAATGTTTATTAGTTTCAGTCATATTTTAGTCATTTTAATCCTTCATAGTCAACGAAAATTCAAAACTATCTAGTCAAACTTTAGCCATTTTGTTTTCTATATGTTTTTTATCTATATGTTTTTTTGAAAATCTTTTCCTTCCTGAGCTCCACCTGTATAAAGACGGAGGCTCAGCAGGGCCGAGCTCTTCTTCTTTTTGACTCTCGTTGGAGGTTCAGAGACACACGTTTAGTTGATAGAGCTTTATTAGAAGACTGTTTCCTGTTTTGTTTTGTTTTTGCGTAGAGGATTTTAATGTCCATATCATTTGTTTAGATCAAATAAAAAATAGTTTGTAGGCTCTGCAGTGGGATCAAAGTTCCTGGTGTTGGTCTTTTCTCTGAAAGCCTCCTGTGACAGCTTCACTACTACGTTGAATTGAATTTGAGTTGTTATTAAAGTGATGATCAAATGATGATGTAGACATCCTAGTTTTATTGGCCATCTTTCTAACCGTGAACGACTTCTTTATGCACTCTGGGGGGAAATTTATGGTCATCATAGAAGCCGGCATTGTTGCAGATCACTTCTTTTTTTTCTTTCTTTCAAAATCTTGTATTTGTCCACTGTAGATCAGAGCTTTGCTTACAGGTCGCTGGGCTTCAGTGTGCTCGCTCTGTTCTTACCTCCTTTTCAAGAAGAAAGTCGAGCACGCTTTTCAACTAGTTATCCAGAAATCCAACTGTATCGCTCGACCTCCCCTGGTTCATTAGCCTGGCTTCAACATTAGCTTGGTGCTGCATTAGCTGCTTCATTAGCGTTGATGTTGCTTGAAGCACGGTCAGGGATGGGCAGTATTTCTATTACATGTATTTAATATATGTATTTGAGTATTTTGAAATTTGTATTTGATAAGGCCGATAAAAAGCAAATGTAATTTGTAACTAAATACTTTTGAGTGGAGTAATTTTGTATTTAAAATACTCAAAATACTTTCTTCATGAATCAAAAAACAAAAATAATAACAGTTCTTGTTTGACGTCTGAAAGTTGTACTCTGTTAACTCTTCTGAACTCCTGAAGTTAATTTACAACAAATAAATGAATGAGCTGTTTATTTTCTTGTCTGGGCATTTTAACACGGCCCACCTCTTATGGGATTATTTAAAGAAAAACAGTTTCCTAGTGCCATCACGCTGACACAAAGCAAAATGAACACCTTATACAAATAATAAACAGATGAATGTTCAGCATAAAGAGTGTGGGAGGACAAACAGGAGAGAGCAAGAGTGAGAAGGGAAGACTGAGAATTTTTTGCAGGTTAGCTTCAGGGCCGTCCTCGTCATGTAGGGTCTGTTGAACTGCTTCGGCTGTCTTGCTTCTCTTCTGGAATGTTCTGTTATTTTACAAAACTGTCGGGCTGCCGTCCCCTCAGTGGCAAAACTGGAAATCTAATTTCATGTTTAACTGTGTATGTATAATACTGAGGTCACAGGACATCAGTCAGCCGTCTCCGGGTCAAACATCTGTCTTCAGCGGACACTGGCAGGCTTTGAGTTCAAATTCAGCTTCATCACTGAAGGATAAACAGAGAGATGATAAAAGCAGGAGCTCATCCAGGTGATTTAATTCATTCATTTCCTCTCTGGAGCTCCAGCCATCAGACCTCTCCTGCTCCCCTTCTCTCTTCACTCCTCTGCCTCCCTGCTGATGCTTCTGGAGGTGAACATCAGTCTTTGGTTCGAAGGTAACACCTGTTTACATCCTGTTCTGTATTGTTGACACAAAGATGCACTGACATTTGAAACTGTTTCCATCAGTCAGTATTAGCTGAGCTGTTGTAGTCAGCCTCCTCAGCATTAACACTGTTTCATGACTCATTGGACTCGTTATCCTTCATGATGTGACAGCAGTGAGACAATAAATGAGCTCATTGGTTAAAGCCCACACAGCAGCCGTGATTGACATTGTCAAATGTTCCTAAAAGTTTTTTAGGTTGTTTAATTTCTGTAAAACCACTGACATCAGGTCCTCATGCTCATTAATATTTATGAACACTCTCTCTTCACTGGATGAGAGCTCACTGACCTGAGAGCACAACACGTCATACTCTGAAAACCACACTAAGCAGAGGGGAAAATAACAGTGCTGCAATGTGCTACTCAGGGCTGAAATGCTAATGAAATGGCTGCAGTGAGCTAAAGGTATCAGACATCAACATGTCAAGGGATTATTTTAGCACCTTCAGTGTTGCTTCTCCTGACTTTGCTTATCTCAGAGAAATGATTCCACTGAATGGTTTGATGGAATCACCAGGTGAGATCATTATTTAAGCTCATAAAGATCAAAACCAGGCCAAAAAAGTGTTTTTTTTTTTTTTTTTTTTTAATTTTGTTTTGTTTTGTTTAAAAACGTTGATTTAATAAATTGTACTGCTGTTTCCCTCCTGACCTCCAGATGGCGACCTTCTTTCACTTTAATCTGGAAAAACCTGGCCGGAAATACAAGTAACCGGAAGTCTCGTGTGTGTTGTAGCGTTAGCTGAGGAGCATATTTGTCAGTGTTGAGGCGGCAGAGCTCCAGGTAAACCCGCACACACTCAGGTAAACACTTTAATAATGTTTCTGTCACGCGAACATCAAAGCGAACCCGAGCAGAAGCGAACACAAGGCCGAACTGCGCCTGCGTTAGCACGCTGGGCTAGCTCCGATGCTAACCAGCTAATTAGCCGCTGTTAGCTTGGTCCAGCTGGTGTGTTGCTAGCTGTTAGCGTTAGCTGACTGTGTTAGTTTGTGTCCTCTGAGTGAAGCACAGTTACTTTGTGTTTAAGTCCAGTTTGAAATGAGCCCATGCTAACGGAGCTGCGCACAAGCTAACAGGCTAATTAGCAGCTAATCTGTCTTTGTGTGTGTCGTCACAGAATGAACTCCTCAGTGTTTGTGACAGAGAAACACAGTGACCAGTGAGGTGTGTGTGTGTGTGTGTGTGTGTGTGTGTGTGTGTAGCTGCTGACAGTCTGTGTTGGACTGTAAGAGACAAACACACACAGAATATTCTGCAGAGTCAGTCTGCCTCCTCTACGTCAGCGACTGTCAACCCCCCCATCCATCATCCAGGTCCCTGCCTGCCAGAGAGTGAACTTACTGAATATTATGTCCAATAATGAATCCCCCAAATTATACAAAATCTAGAGATGCACAATAATACAGGCACATCATCAGTATGGACCAGTATCGTCTTTAAAATGAACTGACAGAATCAGCCCACATGCTTCTTCTTATTTAGCACAATAAATGAATATCATCATGTCTCCATCTGCTGCTGGGACGGCATAAGAGTCTCTCTAAATGTCAGTGACGTCATTTCTGCTCCTTTTGCTACCGATATGTCAGAAACAACAGAGACAGAAGTGCTCATTTGTGTGACACTGAAAAAAAAAAATACAGCCAGAGTCGTAACACACACACACACACACACACAGTTAAACAGGAGCACCTGAACATCTCTGTGTACTTTGATTTGTACTGGACAGAATCCAGAGAGAGACCAGGACATCAGAGTCCATGAGAGAGGAGGAGCAGGAGGAGCAGTAGAGGAGCGGAATGGAGGAGGACAAGCAGAACCCGGAGCACCGGAGCAACAAGGTCCGGAGAAGACAAGCAGCAGGCTCGTCCTCTGATAGCAGCGATGTTGAGGTGAGTGTTGATGACGTCATGGATAAAAAGGGCTTGAAGAAACACTTTAGGATTTCTTTGCTAGAAAGATTTTCTTTCATGGCACCTTGTGTGCTTTCACGAGTGAACAAACAGACTCTAAAATTACAGGGTTTTAAATAACTTTTAGGGTCTGTTTATGCAGATTAATTTAATATCTGACATCAATAGATGCAAAAACAGACTCACAAGGCTGAGTGTCAGTTTCCATGTACGCAGGTGTGAGTGAAGTATGTGCGACTCCTCTACGATAGGTGGAGAT